AAAAAAAAAAAAAAAACAACAACAACTCTGCTAAGAACATCTGGAAAAACCACAGCTGTAAGCATTCATTGCTCTAAAATTCAGCAACCAGGAATAAAAGCATGGAAATAATAAAATTCATCAAAAATGCAGTTGAACCATATCCTAAGAAAGCATAAAAGTGAGCAGGCCAACAATCAAGGACCTGTTCACAGACGGCCAGAAGTCAAGCAAGTTGTGCCTTCTCAGCATCTGGAGCTAGACGAGCAGGGAGAGGAGCAGATTCTCTCCTTCCAGGCCTAAGCATCACTGACCAGGGCTGCACACATCCTCAGTAGGTGCACGGCCTGACACCCCACTTTTGATGCTATCACATCATAAGCCCACTTCATTATTTCATTTATTAAAATTCTTTCCACTCAGTTCTGCCTCATTATTTCCACACAAGTCACCACAAATTGTTCAGGGCAATCAAAGTGAATCTAATCACTTGAAAATGAAATTATAACCAAAGCTTGCTTATTCGTCACTAAACTTAAAACTACTTAGAGATGGGGCTTCTCCTGGGAGACAGCAATTCTTCCAAGCCTTAGAATGCTCATAGACCATCATCCTGCTTTGTGAGGACTCTGCAGCACAACCCCCTCTAGCAATGACGTGATGATAGGCTGTAGAGTAATTAGCCACACGGCGCACTCATTAGGCAAAGCAGTGCTACTAAGAAAGAGCTCAGAGTTCAGTGTGTGGGAGATGAAAGGAAACCCCACATCCTTTTAATTTCACTCAAATGAAAAGAGAAAAAATACTGTCCAAATTGAAGGCTGTGGTAATCAAAAAGTTGAACAAAATGAAAGAAAAAAAAGAACAAAACAGGATGAGGTATAGGAAGGAAATGTATTTTCACATTTCAATTATGTAATTGTTTCAATGTTCTTAATTATGCTATGACCTATCAAGTGCCATGCTGCACATGTGCAATGAGCCTTAACTGAAAATAGAATCAATGATTACTTATTTTGCCCCTAAAATTTAAGCAAGACAATAGAAATCAGAATGATGACCATCAAATATGTGAAATTTGAACTTTATCAGACACCTTTGGAAAAACAATGACCCCATAGAGCACTATAAAGTTCTCTGTTGAAGAGATAATTCAGTGCAGGAAGTCAAGATGTTAACAAACCACCAGAGAACATAAAGTTTGATACTACATCTTTGTCACCCTAAAGTCCATTAGCTAGAAAACAAATGACAGAATCTACTGAAATAATGATCAATGTCAACTATAAATATGAAACTGGAGTTTTACTAAATATGTTCTGAAATGAATGGTTCATTTTCTTTTTATTTTCCTAACCAGCTTTCCATACCTAACATACCCTTTGATCTCTCCAACCAAAAAACAGCATTAGAATTACCTTGGTCCTGGGTTGGCCACAGGTACCCTCTTCTGCCTAAACACAAAATCCACTAGATCCATTCTTTGCAACACAGGGGCTGGGTTGACAAACCTTCTCCTCTCTCACAGTACAAAACCAGCAACAACTA